TGTCATGACGTACTTCAAGAGCTTTATTTTGTCTATAGATGATACATTGTTTACTTCAGCGTATCTACAGGGGGGTACAGTACAGTACTAATGTTACCTTAGTTATTACAGTACCTCAATATTCTTCCAACTTAAAACCAGGAAAATAAAACATTGCAATACTTTTCTCTTTATTGTAAACATCAATGTATCAAATTGAGTATATACTTTAATTGTACAACAATGAAAGATTGATAAGTAAGAGGGGGATTCATTGAGAGTGACTGGAGGTATAGTCAGCTTACTTCAACTGGGCTCAGAATCCGATACAAACTGGAGACTAAACTTTCAGAATCTATCACCTCCATTTTACTACATTTTTAGGTCAGCATCATAAAAGTAGGCGAGGTTATTGGTGGTGGTGGTGGTGGTGGTGGTAGTGAGGGGGGAGGGGTAGTCCAACAATAACAATTCGTATGAGAAGCAAATACCACACATAGGACGACTCGGCTTTAATTATTAAGAAATGGAGGGGGAAACAGGAGGAAACTACGGTAACAATAAGCCAATCATAAACGCCGCTAGTTGAGTATGTAAAGGAATCCGAGCCAGTTAAACCAAGCCCACTACAAGGGTTTCTACAACACACGCTCATACCTACGTGGTTTATTTTTTTGTATTATATATTTTTTTTTTTGGGGGTGGGGGGGAGGGTTTACATATAGGTTTGATTGACACGTTGAGCCGTTGACTTAAACTATTATCAGTGTGTGACGCAGTACATCCCACTACACACTTCCCCTTCTTCACGGTAGAAAATGGTCTTTCCCAACATCACTCACTCTGTTATCTTGGCCATTTAACTTCCATGTGGAGAAAAAACCTTAAGCTAGCCCAACCAAACATGGATAACAAGACCGATTATCACGAATGTTCATCTCACCTGTGTATCTTAGGAGGAGAGACGTTCAAGGGTAAAAGGAATATATTAAAGCCTCTAAACCCAGAAATCCTCTCGATCAGGTTCTTGTGTGCTTTATAGACTCGATACGAGATCAATACAAGAACATCCATACAAACCAAAGTGAAATCCTGACCAAAAAAATCCCAAACAATTTGTATGGGTAAGTCAATCTGGCAGAAAAAAAAGAACAATCAGCAAACTTGTTTATTTAGTTTTTATTTATTTATTTATGCGTTTATTATATACATCCATTCGTTTATTTATTTATTTTTAAAGCACCTTTCTTATGGGATACCTGTCTTTAATGTTCAGAAACCTCGCTAACACCTGTGAGGAGAGTAAAAAGCTGCAAGTTGTAGGAATATATCATAACATAAATTTTCTCTGTGGAACTGACAAAAAGAAGAAAAAACTCGAAGCAAAACAAAATTCTCCTTTATTATGCTGCAATCGTAAGTTGAGAGGGGCAGGAGCAGGTAATTAATCACGATAGCCTTACATATTACTGAGGTAGAGCTCGTGTGTTGCTTTATCTCTGTGTTGAGTGGGTGTCAGTTGGACGGTAACTGAGGGAAGGTTAGGTGGAAGGTCAGGGAACTTCAGGAGATAATAATAATGGGACCAGTAGAGTAGCAGATTAACCTAAGACTAGTGTGTGTGTGTGTGTGTGTGTGTGTGTGTGTGTGTGTGTGTGTGTGTGTGTGTGTGCTTTAATTAGGCGTGGACGTAAACACTTAAGAATACGCGCACTGAAGGACATTTTAAAGGATAATCCATAAAGAGAACACTTGAGAAATTCGAATTGCTTTTTTTTTCTCATTTTCTTTCCTCGTTCCAGGACATAGAAATAAAGAATCATTAATGCATAACAAAATAATACCTTGAAAAGCGTTAGATGACACACGTGGTGGAACATGAAGTGGGAAGTGTTAAGGGAGGCGCTGCTCTCGACCACTAGTTCATTATCGCGGCTTCACTTCCTAGAGTTGGATGGAATATATTAATAAAGCAACCACTCGATTTCGTTCCAGTTATTTACATATCTTGAATCATTCAGGGTCAGAACCTGTGTCCAACGAATGCCAGGGAAGGAGAGAGAGAGAGAGAGAGAGAGAGAGAGAGAGAGAGATCGTCCCAACCCCATACACTACTTAACATAATGGCTCGAGAACAACCGGATAACACAATGGCTCGAGAACAACCGGATAACACAATGGCTCGAGAACAACCGGATAACACAATGGCTCGAAAACAACTGAATAACACAATGGCTCGAACAACCGGATAACACAATGGCGAGAACAACCGGATAACACAATGGCTCGAGAACAACCGGATAACACAATGGCTCGAGAACAACCGGATAACACAATGACTCGAGAACAACCGGATAACACAATGGCTCGAGAACAACCGGATAACACAATGGCTCGAGAACAACCGGATAACATAATGACTTTACAAGAGAAAGAGAAGAAGAACAGCACCGTCACTTTCCCATCACTAAGCTGCTTACTGAAGGGTTATTACATGATCACCCTGAGAAGAGTAACTGTGTCTATTGATTAGTGTTTCAGTTGATTAAAAGACCAATCACAGGATGTCTCACTTTATACAATAAATTCGGTCAATATTTTCAGCATTTTGTTTTATATCAATAATCGCTCAAATTATCTATATACTGTTAACTTTCTATAGTCATTTTTGACAGATGTTAACACGTAATAAATGTTTTATTTTCTTAAATGGACGGTTTAGATTTCATGATATCCTGAATATATATTTGTGTTGTGTGTTGTTTTACGTTGTAGCCGGCGCAGATAATTGGTGATATCTTGAGAACATTGCAAATTATAGCATACGAACAGAGAGGAACGTTCTTAATGTTTATAAACTATTTATTCTTTTTTTTTCGTATTTACTGTTGAAAATAACACTCGATGTTTTACAGACGTGTAATGCATAAAATAGATAAATAAATATTTATATATAAGAAAAATATACATGAAATCTGAAGAGTAAAAACATCAAGTTGGTTGGTTGGTGTGCCGGGTTGGAGGAGGGCCGGCAGTGTTGTCTCACGGTAAGCTCATTACAGCTCCAGAGCCACAGTGTCATCGCTACTACTCTATTTTTCCTGCCACATTTTCTTACTCCCATATATGAAAATACAGAATTCCATTATCCACATATTCTGATATATCAAAGGCAACCACTTAAGTTGCTGTGTAAACTCTCTCTCAGTTATTTATAATTTATACAAGCTCCTGTGTTCAGTTATACATAAAATGCTGCAGTCTGCCCCACATTCACATATTATAGGGCAATGGAATGAAGCAACAGTGTCAAGTTTATATACAAATGTACAAGTCCTACCCAATAATCTATTTACCTCTAATCCGATCAATCCCAGTTTTCCAGTGCGTAACAAAAGCGTATTAAGTCTATAGTTTCTCTGATAACAACATCTTAAACAGATTCTTATCTTAAATGACAACACAACACTCCATTACTCTCTTAAACAACGACATTAGACGGCTAGTGATGGTTCTCTTGGCTATAAATGGCCAACAAAACCTTGGATCTCATCACCACACCTCAGGGAGAATCAGAGATCACCTCAACAGCCAATCATACATCTCGTATACATGAAAATAGATATTGTTTATGTGAGCACTTCCTGTACCTCACAGTGGGCAGGGACACACACACAGGGAGCAGGGTCAGGGGTCTCAGTGGCTCGTTTGTTGTTCCTCTTGAACACTTGTCTGTTACGCCCTTCTGAAGGTGACATTCTGTAGCTACGTTCACAGACACGACCTTTTTATTATCATAAAAATGCACAAAGGCGACTTGTATTAACTGGTCAATCAACTAGCCACAGAACATATCATAATTTACCTTGAAGAATCTGCCTTACCTTCGCCTCACGAGTGTCAGCTGTGATGATCATCCAGTGTGCTGGTGTTAGCTATATAACACAATAGATAGGAGTGTCTAACAAACGGCAAGAGTATGATGGATATATAAGTACAATAATGTATACCAACAAGGCGAAGACTCGCACCAAAAATAACAAAGCTACGAAAACACGTAAATGTCACAGCACATCCAAGACTGCCAGACACCACAAAGCATGATGCTGCCGCTCACTCTACTGTACTGTACATTTGAGTATTATCGTCAAAGTTTCTGTGAGCCACAAATTGAAGAAAATTAATTACTATTGTTTTCTGTATAAAACAACTGGAAATGCTGAATGACAAAAATCCAGTAAAAAAATAACTGTTGTACAGGAGCATCCCGTATATATGCCTGTCAAATTTGGTTAGTTTTGTTTAGGAGATTCTTGTCTTTGAATATGAAAATAAGGATCGTTCACGTTCACGGAAAATTGGGATTTTTATTTTTTTAGACATCAAGCAGTAAATACTGTCTTCTATCATCCCCTGAGATCTTTATTAAACTACAATTCGTTACCCAATAACAATTTTAACCCAGTGACAATAAGTAATTTGTTTCTTCTTCTTTATTTAGCTAAAATCATGGTAACAGCAATTTGTCAAATTAATGCTACAGCTGACGACACAGTTCAAGCCTCGTTGAAAATGTGCCAAATAAACTGTATTGTTGAGAGGATTCCTGATATATTTGGGATTATAATAACAAGAGCGAGGTGAGAGCAGCGTGTCAACGCCAGGCCCTGTCTTATGGCTGGATATGTCAGATCCCGGCCCTGTTTTATGACTGGGTGTCAGATCCCGGCCATGCCTTGTGGCTAAGTGTGTCAGATCCTGGCCTTATCTTATGGCCGGGTATGTCAGGTCCTGGACCTGTCTTGAAGTGAAGGTGGCTACTACCCTCTTCTTATCAGTTTTCACAACAAGAATAATAATACAAAGTAGAATCCATATGATGAGATTATACAGCATAATACGAAAATTCAACAGTTCTACATATCATGTGTGTATATAATATATATATATATATATATATATATATATATATATATATATATATATATATATATATATATATATATATATATATATACTAAGTATCATTTAAGTGTCTTAGAAAGCCTTATTCTTAAATTACTTACACGTGTTGACTATTAACGCTACGGTTGATACTGTATGGACCTGTCTGGTGACAGTGTTTGAGTTACACAGTTCTTGGCGTCTGTATTATTCCCGGATCTGGAACCTTTATCAAGGAAGTCTTGTCATTCAAATATACAATGTCTGAAATGTCCAATAATGTCAGGGGCAAGAGTTATTGTGATCTATCCTTAGTTCATGTTGTTGTGGCGTCAGTGTCCCAACAATATCAATCTTTCTATAGAAAATGTTCCACTCTTCAGGATCTATAACTTAATGTGGCATAACTGAAAAAAAAATCACAGAAGTGTGGCCGAAGCATTTACGTGTGGTCGAATTTATCATTATTCATCATATTTTGCGTAATCGTTTTCCAGGCTAACTGTCTGGGTTATTGCTGTAATATAAAGAAAAAATTTCTTGGCATAACAAAAGACAAAATATTCTTAATCTGCCTGATATAGATTGAGACCGCAATGTGTCGCTGTTATCGGATGTAAATGCTGGCAGCGAGACTTCTGGCGAGAATATTCAATGACACACACCACTTACAGGTAACTCGAACAAGGTGAAATTCATACCGACGGATCTTATGGAAGTATTTGTTGTGGAAACGATTGTGATGTTTTCTATTATCATGTATTACTGTACTTTAAAAGATCATTAAGCGTGAATTCAAGTTTACCACGAGTTAAGATTAAGAAAGATATACCGAGGAACAAGACTCATATCGTGAGTCTTATGACGTATACTAGTGAGTTACAAACACACACGTGGCCTGAGTTTGTTTAGTACAGTACAGTAAAGCAAGTGCCCACTAATGGTCTTGTACCCTTGTGGTTTTGTTTGGTACATGGGATGGTTATAGCAATATGACTTCTTTTTTATTAACTCACTCGGGAGGTGTCACGGAAGTTTCTAATCTCAGTCTTTAATAAATTCACCTGAGGAAAGTAAAACTTACATTTTTCATAAGCGAAAGGTTCCTAATCCGGAAATTATACAAAGGCATCTCCACTAACCTCCCAGGCGGCCGGTCCAGTTTGATCCACAGCTTGGAGTGTATATACTAGACTCGTATGTGTGTACAGTATATGTATTGTATAAGATCATAAAAAAATAATGCTGATTTCATCTCCATTAAATCGGTAAAGAATATTTTGTTCCCTTTGGTAATTTTACACGATACATTTCATTCTTGTAATACTGTTGAATTTACGTTTACATCAAATTATCCTTCTCAAAACATATCTCACAGCATGTAACTAGAAATCAACTTTTGCAACTTGTTGGTAAACAATGATATGAATCGTCCACTTGCTTTTCATACACGTTCGACTAAGTAAGTAACCAGTGAAAGAACAAGGGAACAGGGGTACTGGGCCTTGATCATATAAAAAACAGGATACATTTTCGAGTAACTCACAGTAAATTCACTAAGAAATATCCACAGTGTACATATGGAACAAGAAAAAGAGAGGAAGTGACCTCGTGGTAACTACCTGTGATTTTTATCTGTCTAGATTACTGTTGCACCACAGTATACACAATCTAACTATGTAGCCGGGGGTGAAGCACTATAATAACGGGTGGCACTGCAGCACACAATAACCTGGAGTGAGTGTCCTCCAGTCTGAGTTACCGAGCTGCGGCACCGTGTTACTGAGTTACTGAGATACACCACCCAGTTATTGAGTGACGGTGAGTGAGCACATGGATACCAGGAGCTGGTGTATGCGGGAGTAATATGATTGGTTGTTGATTTTCAGCTAGGAGTAAACTCGGGAGTCATGAGCAGGTGCCAGGTGTGCTCTCTTAGTGTGTTGTTGCCAGCACTTTCACTATTGATTCATTCAAACACTAGATATATTATATAACAGGTGTCCGTGACAATACCAAATATCTCTGTACAAGTATAAATGTCGATTTATGTAAAGTATACACAGTAAAGCATCATGCAGCCAACGTCGGTAGTAGTTGTTGACCATAAGACGAAAGCTCAACACTCTTCCGAGTTCTAGGACTGCACTGACGAAACTCTCTCAATAAACAACTACTGGCTACCTCAGTATCTGCACGGAATCTCACTGGCTGGCTAGGATTCCTGGGGGGTGAAGTATACCTTTCCCAACACAACACACTCAATCTCTCAAACTGCCATCCTTCACACTGCACTCTCCATGCGGTCGCTGCTGAACGATGTAGGGAAGGGCTTGGGCGGGTACTGCTCGGGCGGACTGGTGTGGGCGTGCAGAGAGGGGTTGGGCGTGATGCAAACCGTTTCCGCGACCATGGGCACGACGGCCATCATATCTGGGCCGAGAGACGATGTGGGCGTATCGTAGGCTGGGGGCGGGGCGATAGGCGGGGCCAAGGGAGTGGTCATGGGGTCCTGTAGGGGCGAAAAAAAAAAACATCTAATACAACCCAGAGTGTAAAGTCTGGCTCAGTGAGTAAGAGGCGAGACAACAAGTTAAATAATAGTACAACAACTCTGATTTATGTATGACAGTCTTACCAAATATGTTTATATTACGATACTCACACGCACACACACACACACACACACACACACACACACACACACACATACACACATGAAAGAGGAGTCATAGTAAGCTTAAGAGTGACTCCTGTTAGGCCACCATCAAGCGAGTCAAGGCAACAAGAGATGCACTAACTGCTCCTCACCATGTACAGGCTGCTCCGCCTCTGCAATGTTGCCGCGTTGGCGTTGTGGCTCCTCGCGTGGCTTGAGCGTGGGTGGGGTAGAGTTTGGGTGTGGGAGACGGGCATAGCATGGGCGTGGGTGTACATGGGTGCAGGGATAGAGGTGGGTGTAGGGGGCATGTGGTGGTAGGAGACTGAGTGATGCATGTCGACGGGAAGTGGGGATGAGGCATACTCCTGCTGGATGTACTGCGACTGGTGGACGTGTGGTTGGGACTCGACGTGGGCGTGTACTGGCTCTACGTGGGCGTGTGTGGCATGGGTGATGTGGCTGGGCTCTACATAAGCGTTGGCATGGGGGTGAGGAAGCTCGGCCGGCGCGTGGGAGGTCTCAGGGTTGTTGGCAACCATCTCACCATATATTGTGGAGACGTCAGCTACGCCTCGACGATCCATTAGGTCGGCACGGCTTCCTGGAGGTGCAGCGAACAAATAATAATAATAATAATAATAATAATAATAATAATAATAATAATAATAATAATAATAATAATAATAATAATAATAATAATAATAATAATAATAATAATAATAATAATAACAATAATAAAAATATTATCTAAAGTCATATAGAATTAAGAATGAAGCAAATATGGAAACAAAACTAAATCCAAAAGTTATAGTTAAAAGTGTAACTGTAGTGATGCTCGCAAGTCCGAAAAAAAAGGGATATTGATTAATTTCCAGGGAAAGAAAAGGCAGACAGATTCGCTTCCCTTAGAGAGACAGAGGGTGATGGAATGGCTCTGATACAAAGACAATATCCATTTGAGAACTGGAAGAAAAAGAGGAATGGTATTGGAAGAACTTTTGGGATGTGGGGAGTACTTTGGGGATGTTGGGAGTAATTTTAGGTATGTTGGGAGTAGTTTTAAGAATATGGGGAGTAGTTTTAGGGATATGGGGAGTAGTTTTAGGGATGTGTGCAGTAGTTTTAGGGATGGAAGTAAATCTAAGGATGTGGGGATGTAGGAAGTATTTTTAGGTATTTGTGGAGTAGTTTTCAAGGGTACGTTTATGAAGACTGTTTCAGATATAAAGGGAATATCATTAAACTTGACTAACAACATTCTGGCACTTCCTAATGTCTCTTAACACCTCTCTCGTTCTTTTCACCATCTGAATATATGGAGTAAAAATTATCACCACTAATGCTATTTGAACTTTCCCATCTTCACTTAATCCTAGGATGTCCCACTGTAGTCTTTTTCATTCGCCTATAAACATTTTTCATACTTACCAGCCTCATATAATGGTAAAAACATCACTCGTATGATGGTGTTGTCAGTGTGGAGAACTATCACTGAGGAATCATTTTCTTCTCCTTCAGCCAATCAGTGAGAAAGTGAGGTATGAAGTCGGTGTCACTTTCCAACGCTTTACTTTCGAACGCTTTTCTGTTTTTCTCTCCTTTCTTTATATCTCTAGCTCCTGACTCTCTCTCTCCTTATTTTAAGTCTCAATAATTATTACCGGGAAACATTGATAAAATGCTAAACTGTTCAGATTTTCTCAGTTGATTTTATGATGTTGCAAATCTATTCTTCCTGGAAATAGACAGTTTCTTAATATTGTTTGTTTCTTTCTCTGGTGTCCGGAGTTATTCTCAACAACTGCAGCAAGCGACCAAAGCCTGAATGAGCGATACAACACCTTGTATAACTGGTACTACACGTGTTCTACGAAGCGACCGAAGGAGCTATATCAGTCACAGTAAATTTAAGTTTTTAATATAAGACAATTGTTGATGGTTTATTATCCAGTTAAAATATCCATTCGGAAGACTCAGCCAACACTCAGGCGGTTTATGTAGATCTCGTAAAAAATAATGGCGGAAAATTTTTCATGTTCTCAGTAAAAGATTATAAGACATGATAAACCTTAACTCTGGTAACAGTTCCAACAGTTTTAACATTATCTGGCTCACAGGGGGCGTGGCCAGGCCTACTACTTCTCTTGCTCTACATAACAGAAACCTAACCTAACCTAACCTAACTTACCTTCACAGAAATTCATAACATAGGTGGAAATGTTCTCCAATTTATTAACGTTGCGCGAACAAGTTAGTTTCACTGTCTGGGAACGCGCTGACCTGATGAATGGTGATATTTGGTACCTCGGTCAAGGACTATTAATCTCTCTGAAGACCAGGAACAAAAGTTAGTATCTTTCTCAGGACCATGTCATCCTTCTAGGGGCGCCTCCATCTCTAAGACTGGTTGGTGGGTGATGCCTTACTACCAGCTCCTTCACAAGTTTGACCATAAAGCTATACTACAGCGGCCGTTTCATGATTTCTGAAGACCCATTTATGTGCAGTCTTCCCCCGTGTGTTCGTAGCGTTAAAAATGCGAAATATGAAAATATTATTTTTTAATTGTATGCAAGTTTTTGAATGAATGAATACAAATAATGAAAGGGTTATTATCACCTAAATGCTCTTGTGTTTAAATATAAATAATTCCACGATCATTTTGGTTACACGAAGCCGTTGTATTAAAGTTTTCTTAGTGTGTTCTCAAATGCGTTGTGCATTGGTCAGGGAAACACTATTTCTTAGATGTGGGCTAAACTGTTCACTTACGTCTTATCAATACAGCCTTCGTAATTATAGATTAAGCTCTTAGCATAAGACTCAGGCCCGTTTAATTAAAATACATCTTCCCTTGAAGAGGGTCGTCGTGTTTCAACCCGAGTTTTAAACTAAATGAGTCCTGAGGGACACCACAGTACAGTACTTAACGGGGTGGTGTGGCGGTAAAATTAACTAATTCCAATATTTAAATTAATGTTATTGGAATTAGTTTAAAACTCGGGTTGAAACACGACGACCCTCTTCAAGGGAAGATGTTGTTTAATAATACGGGCGTAAATGTCTTGTGTTCCTGTGACGGACGAAAATTTTATACAAGTTTACAATAGGTGGTGAGAGAATCAAATATCTACTTGATTTATGCAACAAGAGGTTTTAGAATAAAGGTGTATAGAATGTTCTTTTCACGGTGTAATTAATTCCAGTTCAATAGTCATTTGAATTCAGCGCTAGACTCTTGGACTGTTACGTTTTCAGCTTTACAATAATTAGTATTGCCGGTCAATATATGCAAGCAGTGAGGTACGAAACATTATGGAAATGAGGGAAGAGAACCTTTCAAAGCATGTTATATGAAGATACAAGTTAAACACACAACATTTGATAATCACGAGCTCTATGAAGTTTAATTTTGCTCACACGGACATGCTTGAGGTTGGTACTGGGTAAAGACTAAACACATTACTTGGTGCCACATGAAGGCGCTGACACCTGAAACCCTCCACATAAAATAAATGATAAAACTAACGTCGTCTCTGAAAAAAGAAACATACACACATTTATTATACTCGGTCATATTTTACTTCTTTACATAAGCATGGTGTCTAATCAGAACTCATGGTGAATAGCTGTGCCAAAGTGAGAAAATAATTGTACTGAAGGAGGTTTCGGAAAAATAGAAGGATTGTGCCTAGGAGAACTGTGCCGGGAGGATTATCCAATAGAGCGATATCCGTGCTGAGGGAATTATCAGAAAAGAGTGCCGTGGGAAGTCTTCGTAAGAGGGAAACATTCTGTGCTCAGGACAAAGGAGGAACTGTGCTGACTCTAGAAGAAGAAAAAAATTTGTGCAGAAAGAAACTTGCGCCAAAAGGAAGGGTGTGTGGTAAGGGAGGTGTTTGAGAGGAGGAGGGCGTGAATGGAGCAGCTAGGGAGTAGTGTGACGAGGACTGCTAGAGAGAGAGGGAAGGGGGGGAGGCGGAGTAACCAGGGAGGAGAACCGTGGTGTTCCTACCTAAGTGTAGCGGACATAAGGAGTCATGAGTGCGGGGGGGCGTCTGGGTGGCTGCCAGCTCTGATAGTTCACAGCTGCTCAGCTCCTCGCAGGTGACTGGCGGGTCCACCCTCCGAGTCAATACTGTGCCGGGGAGATGGTGGTGCGATATTTTGTTGTTCAAGATTCGACAAAGGGAAAGAAATGGGTTTTATTGGCCATTATACCTAAGGGGGAAAATTCACTTTAATTTGTAATGGAATTCTTATTACTATAATAAAACTGTAGCTTAAATTGTTCTTTTGTTGGATTAACTGCATTGTGAAACTACGTGTTTAGTGGGGGCACAAGAGATTTACAGATGCCTCTGGGTTTTAAAAACATAACCAAAAACCATTAATAAATAAATTAAAGTAATTCCCTTTGAAGTAAAGGATAAACGAAAATAAATAAATAAATAAATAAATAAATAAATGTAGAATGTTAGAATAAAGCAACAATAATTGGAAGAAAAATCATAGATGTTAGAACACAAACAAGCAGAATGTACGGAAAATCACTTGGTCTTCTTAAACTTATTTCAGTAGTGTTCCAATGACAAATCATTATTTCTATGCTCTTTCAAATTCATTATCAAAATAATAATAAAATTATGTAACAACAATCGTTCTTTATTGTAAATTACATAAATATTAATTGTATTGATTTGTAAAGGTAATGTATATAGTTATCATAATAATAATAATAATAATAATGATGATTTTTTATAGAAGATTAGAATCACATGCACATATAACCGACATAAATATATGACATCTGTATAAGATTATTATGGGTAAATATCACACCTTGTTTAGCTGCCAAATACCATACGCTGAACACTGACTTCCAGCGCCCACTTAATTAAACGTTGCAGCTTAGGTGTTAAAGGGATCACTACCGTCGCCTGTGACAACACATGTTTTTCCTCCCACCCCGCCTCCCTGCCTCTCCCTCCCCGCCCCTTCCTCCCTGCCTCTCCCTCCCCGCCCTCCCCCTCCCCTCCCCGCCCCTTCCTCCCACCCTCCTCCCTGCCCTCCTCCCCGCCCCTGCCTCTCTCCCCCCTTCCTCCTGCCTCCCTCCCCGTCCCTCTCCCTGCTCCCTGCCCACCCCCTCCCTGCCCCAACATGTTATGGATAATGAAATAGTTGTGACGGTGAAGCTGATTATTATTAATTTACAAACTAATTTACTGGTACCGTACTCAGATGCCAGGAACATTTAACGAAGCTGCAGGAAGTTATAGATTCACTGATGCTACACGTTATCACACTTGGTTTAACACCTCAGTTTGATCATATCTGAAGAGCATTATCTTACCGTAGGTCAAGGATGTCTTCACAACTCTCAGGTGAGGTCAGTGGATCAAGGTTTACTTCTCCATAACAAGACGAGACCTCTAAGTTATATATGATAAAACAAAAGAAAAAATACAGAATTTCTTAGTTTGTTTAAGGTTAACAAACGGACGAGAACGTAATTACGGGCTTATGTCCACAGCTTTTATCTGGAGCAATAGTTTGTGGCCGATTATTCTCTCTCGGTGTTGCCACTCATTGTTGTCTCAACCTTAGTGCACACAGACACACCACGTGGCGCCTTTCACCTGTTCACCTGGATTTTATATGTTGTGAATGTTTGGGAAATGTATGATTAATGTGTATGACTATTTTTATTATATGGTTATTTGACCACACACACACACACACACACACACACACACACACACACACACACACACAGACTGGTATCTCACTTTAGGCGGAGATAAAACACAGAAAAACGAGAACCCTGTTCGTATATTTCGACTATAACCTACGGTGCTGAAACGACTGTAGGGGAGGGTACATACAGGATATATATTCAGAGCTCTCGTCTATATTTTTTAACTTCTACGTTGGTTTTTCAGTGCTATGATTTATATGGTACTATATATAAACCACAACACATTTATTATTAACAGATTATATTGATATGAAAAAATTTAATAAATATTGAAGAGACCTCATGTTGTTTTCGTGACAACATTACCGCATTCTATTTTAGAAAACATACAGACATGTGAGTACACATTATTTAAATGTTTGACTTAAATATTTGTTTAGGCCGGCTGCCTGGGCCGGCCGCTCTGCACGCTGGCATGTATAATGATGGTATTTATTTTGGCAAAAGATTATACCTATCAATTTATGTGTTATTCGTGCTTAATTTTTCATTTACATAATTAAAAACGGTTTTATTCTTACCGTTTAATATTAAGCAACCTGAATATATGTGTAACATTGAAAGTTATTTCACCTGAGCACAAATTTGTTTTATATTAGAGAACACGATCAGTAATAATAATACTCAAGGTTAAAGCATTTAGCATTAAACCACAATTAATGTAATAATAATACGGTAGAGCGAAGCGTTGTGTTTGATGACTAGCACAAGAGTGAAGTGTTGTAGTGTTTAATGGGAGACTGTTCTTCATAACGTGTGTGTGTGTGTGTGTGTGTGAACCCATCTCCAGCTACAGTACGAGTAATATTCAGCTTCAGAAACCTTTGAGACTCTGGATACTCACCTTAATCGCGTGTCAGTGGTGCACCTTTAACTGACACAATTACCGCTTTCACGTTTTCGCAAAATTAACGTTTTATTTTTGTCCATAAAATCGAGTGGCTAGAAAAAAATATTAAGGTTTAATGTGTTGGTAGTGTGGCAAATTTTAGAAACGGTGAAATAAAAAAACTTGAATTAGAGAAAAAAAAATCGGTCAAAAAAGATAAAAAAAAAACTGAGATTGGTAGACACACACACACACACACACACACACACACACACACACACACACACACACACACAGAGAGAGAGAGAGAGAGAGAGCATCATAAATCAGAAGAAATAATCACCCTGTAAAAAGAGATAACGGAGAAATCAAGAAAAAAAAAAAGAGTTTTATCACAGGCCACGGCTCGAAATCATTAACTGTTGCGAGAATTTGATGAAATACAAACACAAACCCAGAATAATTACGCAATGCTTTGTGTATGTAGCACCCACGAGCGATGGCAAACAGGATAACAAAGAGAGACAGAATGATAGATTTTTTTAAAGAGTAGGAGGGGGAGGCGGGAGGGGGGGGGGTTGAAAGAGGGAAGTACTGTACCTAGGTTCATCTGTAGAGTCACACCTGTTATTTTGTATCGTCAGAGAGGTTACAGCCATAGAGATGTGTTTTAGGGTAATTCATACGTTTTGAATCCCTTTGCTAGTGGTAGTGGTGGTGGTGGTAAGGATGGTAGTGGTGATGGTGATGGTAGTTGGTAGATGGGCGTTTCCAGCTATAGCGGCAAAAGAATATAGAAGTGTGTGTGTGTGTGTGTGTGTGTGTGTGTGTGTGTGTGTGTGTGTGTGTGTGTGTGTGTGTGTGTGTGTGTGTAATAAGAATAAAAATAAAAATAATAAACGGTTTATTGATAGTTGCAGCCGGTGGCTGAAAATATTCAGACTTACATTCGATTTTGATATAATGATATAATATGCATTGAATATATTTACAGGGCTGTTTAGTACATAAATCTGGAGTTGTTTATTATTTTAACAATAGATGGGATGGTGCTATTCTTATATCTATCGGTGCGGGCTCCTATGGGCTGAATTTTGTTGTAGTGGCGGACTGCGCTAGGTGGGTGGGGGGCTGCAGGAGGTAGCGATGATTAGGGTGGTGCATTAGTTGGCTGCCAAACCTTTCCAGTGCTTGGTGGTGGAGGTCACTGAGGGATGGCATTTCCAAGGTGGAGACAGCGTTGATGTAGCCGGAGTATTCTGCGCCGAGCATGATTCTGCAGGCCCTTTTCTGTACCTCCTCTAGCCGACGTTGTTGGGTAGAGTTGAGAGAAGAGTGTGTGTGTGTGTCTTCAAGGGTAAGTTTACATGTTGGGGATAATCTTTTTTGTGTAAGGTATGTGGATATGTATGTTTACGTGTAGGCTGGATGGTTTAAGTGTACGCGGGTGTATATATAAAGAGAGAAAGAGAGTTACACAGTCCATTTCATTTACAAATACGTAAGAAAGTTACATACTAAATAAGAGGGGCTTAACGCTTGGCATAATCTAAAATGAACTTTAATCCGGGGAGGAAGAGACTTGTTATAGCTAAAGGTAGAAAGAAAGAAGAAAAAAAAAACACTGGGGACATTTTTCACTTTAAGAAATGGGGTCAATAACTCGCTGTTTACGTCGCCGTCTCGTTTCTTTCTCTCTCCACTAGCGAAAAACTTTCCATTCTGAAAGCAAGATGAGAATTTAATGTTGTTTGTACACAAGAGTGGAATTGCAAATTGAGAAAACAACCGAGAAAGGAACGAGGAAATGATTACAGGAGAGGAGAGACATGTAACGTCAGGGTGGCTCTTAAAGTTGAGCAGCTTCTGAAGACGAGTTCAACAACATTGGCTGTGATGTGTTTGTTTGTTAGCCGTAAATGGAAAGAGCCTCAGCCACTACATTAAATGCAAGCGAGAGAAAGAAAACCCTAACACGCGGAGCATAAAGTCGGAGAATAGGAATGAAAAGCATATAATTCTTTGGACTGTGAAGCTTGAATCATAAAAAAAATGCTTTAGATGAGAGAAAGCCTTATACCCCGAAAGTTGAATTACAAGTTACAGATGATAGAGCTTGGAACACTAAGGTTGGGTAACAGAGCCTGGTTGATATACTTTAGGTTGGATAAGAGAGTATGGAACACAATGGCTACATCACAAAACAGGAAACAAAGAGCCTAGACAATAACTTCTAGTTCATGTTTCATTACCCAGAACTTGGAAGTAGAGATAGAGGGTTCAATCCACACATCCACTGTTGCTTGGTTTATGAAGTTCCAAAGTTTGTCGACGGCTTCTTGATCAACAGGTCAAAGCCTTTATCCAAAAGCCTAGGCTACAAAAGCTTGATTTTTAAGTCTTGGACACAGATCCCTAATTCACAAGTTCACGCCACAAAGCCTTGATCCACAGGTTTGAGTTAAGGTACAATATTTTGACCGACTGGTTCGTAAGTCTTCATCATAAAGTTATGAATTACAATCCTCAACCACAAATCCTGTTCCTCTATACCTTATGAATATAATTTATACTACTAGTGTAACTTTACTTGTCTAACTAATAGGTTATATATTATAGTTATGGGTAAAACACTTGGTAGTTTGCTCGTTGATGAAGATTCAAAGACCAAACCAGATCTTCATCAGCCTCTTACAGTAATCCTGGCACAGTTCGTCTGTATTCTTTGAGGCTTCACCAGTATTTTGACATTATTTTTCCAGCAAACGAAAATAGTGAAGGATAAAGTAACTAACTGAACGAATGAACCTTGTAACGTGTGCCAGCTTATTGCCTTAATTTATTTTAAAAGTTTTGCTGCTCTTAATATTCAAATTATTTTTTAAATATTTCCAGACACATCGTAAAATCAATAGCTTTGCTCATCAACCGTAGGAAATAACTCATTTGGGAGTATCAAATGGTGCCATTAAGATTCCCATAGTAGGAAACACGCTCACCATTCAACCAAAAAATGACGTATTTTTTTTCTCTCCAATCTGGGTTATATCTGAAGTACTGTATAATAAGACCAATCAAGTTTTACCTTGACAAGAGAGATATTTAGCAAAGGAGAATGACTTTGAGAATGAGAGAATCACTTACTGGCACTACATTTACGTGAAAGTGATTCGGAAAACTTTTAAGACACGAATTCTGACAATTGCATATGTCTTATAGAGAAAGAAGGTTGCAGCCGTTGTAAAAATAAGATTTATATATATATATATATAAACTTCAGTTTGCATATTGCAGTGAGCTTGCAAAATTAACCATAAGATGTTTTCCTCATTAGCACATACCAAATGGCCTAGCATTAAACTCTGGTAATATAGAGGCACATTACACCTGTAAACATGCATTATAATTATGCCATGTAATATGCACCAAATTTTTTTATGAAACGCTCGCTTAAATTTCAGTGACTAGGAGCATTGAGCGAGATAGTGCTAAAGACCATAAAGCTAAGGCGGAACTAAAAATGTGACGCAAACTTCTAAAAGGAACACGGAAACCAACTCGTACCTGAAATAATTCTGATATTAAACCTTGATTTTTTTGTCGACAGTGTCTCAACCATAAAACAGTTATGCATTTCCGTCGGATGCGAGATAAAACTAGAGTGTTCTAGTACATGTAATATGCAGATAAAAGTGAGAGGAAGTAAACTGTAGTGTGCCCTGAATATACGATGTATTGTATGTAAATTCATTCTCTGGCCCTCACGGAAACTTAATTGAATATTGTAAAGGCTTAGATAGTCAACGGGAAATTAATCTAACTCACATATATGAAGAAAATTTTAATAAACCTTTCATGATAATTTATTTGTGTGAAGACGTGTATAAATTAATTTTGTGGCAATATGCAGCATTGTATCTCAAGTCTCCAAAACCAAAAGTGAAGAACTGAACGAATATATTAGACTAGATCATATTTGGTTAGTTATTATTGTAATGTAAATATTCATCCAATAAGACTAGGGTACTGGTAGTGTGTTAGAGGGGGAAAGACTTTAGCTTCTACGTTTGTTGTATCTAATAAATCAGTGTGTCACTTCGACGGGAAGACCAACTCGATAATTCAGCTGTAAAGTAACGACGAGGTGTAATGTAGATGTTCCTTATCGTTCACGAAGGCGCTGCTGTTTGTTTTGACTCTTTTATTGAGATAAGTATATGTGTTTGTCGATTGTATTGGATAAGGGTATGGAGAGGTGATCTGATGCTAGTGCTGATGGTTAAACTAACAACTTGCGAAATTTATTGAAGTAATCGTTGGTTTGTGCACACACACACACACACACGGGGAGGGGGATGTCAGAACTTCTCTTCGAACGGTACAACGAAATTTCCAGTTTTTTTTTTCATGAAAAATCTATACGTCAATTTTTGCTGGAAGCAGATAATATTATTTGTAAAATAAATACAAACAAAAATAATAATACAATTACAATAAAAATACGAAAGAAAATATTGTGTATACGAATTATTCTAAGAGTAACTAACCTCGAGTTTCCGGTATGACGTCTGGATCTTTCTCGTCCACGTCGAGGCGCCCACTGTGGCTGTCGTCCTTCTTCAGGATGTGTAAACTGGAGTCTTCCTGGTTGAGTCGCCGCTGGTTCTCCCTCCGAGGGCGCCGCACCACCATCACCACCACGATCACCACGAACACCACCAGGATGCCGCCCACCACACCCAGGATGATAGCCAAGGACGGATACAGCTCCATCGTGGAAGGCAACTCACTCGCTGGCACCACACCTGAGGGTAACACGTGGATGATCACCCCAGGGCTTAGAGACGTGACACACACACACACACACACACGCACACCTGTACACCGATACGTGCTCACAGCATGGTATTTATACATACCATGAGAACCACTGAGCCACACCACTGGGCTGCACCACTGAATTACACCACTGAACCATACCACTGAGTCACACAAGAGTCACACCACTGAGCCACATCAACTATCCACAGAACCTAATGCAAGCGGAGTGTTGCGGTGTACAGCTGGTGGTCGAGGGCCCTTCTCATGAATAAGAATATACGGGCTTATAGATGGCCACATTATTCGGATCATAATTCACAATTTGTCATCACACAGTCTACATATTCTCGTACACGTTGATGTATGAATAAAGAAGGAAGTCATGTGTCATCAGATATGGGTGATAAGACAAACTGGATTATTTTAACGTCCTACGAAAAATGATTTAATATTTTAAGTTTCATTCACAGTAAACACTTGTAATTAGAGATTAAACAGCATATTGCTCGGTGTGTTAGCTGGGAGTTAATATAACTAATGGATTATCCGCACCATTCACCAATAGTCTCGCAACATTTATTTGTTTATTCCCTGTCTCTCTTAGTGCCAGAACGGAGGACATGTTTGTCCTGAGTTAGTGTGAGAATATGTAGCCCAGGAGTGTGTTTAAAGTGTGGAGATGAACTTTTTGCACCAGTGACAGTAACTAACTCGGGTTGATTACAGCATGGCTGATGACCGTGTGAATGGAGGAAGCCATATTAATGGAGGGGTAACTCACTAAGCGGATTGACGTCACCAAGGCGGGTGATATCAATACTTCTTTCAGCACTGGGAGAAAAGACGCACTACAGTGTATATATATATATATATATATATATATATATATATATATATATATATATATATATATATATATATATATATATATATATATATATATATATATATATATATATATATAATTTTTTTTTGTGTCCTCTTCCAAAATACAACATTTTAGCATAAGGTATTCCTGTCACATGTTCAGAATCGTCTTTGTCAATACACCTGTATTTATAGTATAGGTTTATACGTTCATAAGGATTATCTTCAGGTTGTTGAGGTACTACTTAAACAGATCAGTTGCTCTAGTATGGTATACACTCACTCTGAATACAACAACATAATTCCCACTTCTATGAAAAGACAGAAAATAATTGTGTGTTTAGCAGATGTTTGATAATAATGTTGTCTTCTCCATCAGTCACTATAAAACGACAGTTAAGTTATACGATCCTTGGAGACGCACTTTTACCTTATGAGAATGTAACTTAAGTCTCCGACCTGTGGGAAACTCTTCATGGTACACCACAGATCTTCACCTCCTCTCCGACATTCTTATATATTCATACATATTATCCACGTCGAGTACTCCACTTCACTTATATACATATTTTGGATAATTATTTCACATTAATTCACGGTTACAATCTTTTTGCGTTTCTGTTTCTCAGGACTTTAGGTGTGTGTGCGTGTGTGTGTGTGTGCGTGCGTGTGTGTGTGTGCGTGTGTGTGTGTGTGTGCGCGTGTGTGTGTGCGCGTGTGTGTGTGTGTGTGCGCGTGCGTGTGTGTGTGTGGTGTGTTGCAGCTTCATCCATCTAACTGACAGTGTTCCATTAATATCTTCTAAATCTCCCAATTTATCTCTGCCGTACAACAACTTCTTCAGTATTAACAAAATCTTCGTTTGTATATTTTTTTGCCTTTTATATTCATGATATTTACCAGATACTTACGACGTTCTTTCACCTCTATTTATCACACACTTCACCCCAGCACCCCACTTGCCTTCCACCATCAGTCTCTCCCGATCATTCTTGTTTCCTCCTGGCCACAATCTCCCACCACCAACGTTCAACACACACACACACACACACACACACACACACACACACACACACACACACACACACACACACACACACACACACACACACATACACACACACCCACACACACACACACACACATCTCCTAAACGTTTTCCCCATAATTTGCTATGATGAGAACACATTGATCTCCACACCTCAGCCACGCATTATCAGCGGGTCGTTACCCCCTTCATTCCGAGCAGGTGATTCACATCCCCGGGATAATTACAGGTGATGATCAATCTTAAAGGAACGGCCCGATTACAATCTACTCTTTTAGAAGAATTGTGATGTGAGCTCTTAGTCGCTCTTGGACGAAGCCGACGGAGATTAAAATAAGACCCAGAGCTTAATATATGCGAGAGAATGAGCGCACCCCTGTAAATATTTGCCTCTCTAGTAATTTACCCAGAGAGCATCATAATTACTCCAGACTTGAGACCGTGACACCGCCATAAACCTTCAAGGAGAGGAAAAACCTCCTGCACCATAACCTCTTAACGCGGTTAGTCTCCGTGTGTAAATAATACCCACTTTATCGTAGCGTAGAAATGTAACCTTAGATTTTAATTAAGTTCTTTGACAGATTTGAAATATTCATCCATACTCAATAATCTACATTAAATTGTGAATTATTTGTGGCTATTACGACTGGGGTATATAAAGACTTGTGTGCCTATTGAACATGGGCCATTTAGCTTACATCTCTATCAATCCTCGTCATTCAGCTTCTTAGACTGAGTATCCAAAACACACTATATACGGATGTTATTTCACTTATGTATTAATGAACTCTAATGTAGAGTTAAGGTGCTCTCAAGATACAAGCGATGACTCCTACATAAAAACATTTCTACGTTCAGGTTTATTCAATACTATTGTTCTAAGACATCTGCTGCTATTTTTCTTCCGTTATGCAAAGTAGTCTATAGTTTACGCTCATACACATCAATGAGAATAAACTATTGTATAACAGGTGCATAATTTGTGTAGAAAATACTCAACGTGTATATACATTATATATATATATATTCCCAATTTCTCATTTCAGTGAACACAATCGTTGTTCACCGTTATTCCAAGCTTAACTATACATATTGCCTTTCAATTCGTTAATAGTAAAATGGAATCCACACTAATTATGGTATTTGAAAAATGTGTATGATCATTACTGAATTAGGAATAAATTATTGGTTTATGGTCATACAAAGTCTGTTAAGCCATGGGAAAAATACTGTCTTTGTGCACATTCATTTCACGCTGTGCACCTAGATTAATTATTTACAAATTAGGTTGGAATTAAAAAAAAATGGATTTGTGATATTTATTTCACATATTATCTCTCATTGTTATTTAATTTCAAATGACCTTTTTTATCCTTTCAGCACTAAGTTCACTGATGGAGATATGAGTTTGATATATACTGTATTTCGTTATTTGGAAATTTCTGATATGAAAACATTCGGGATATTGTTAATGCCACCCACCCCCCCCCCCCTCTTTTGTTTTGTTTTACTTTACTGCATAACTGACACGTGATGAAAGGTGGTTAAAATATGTAAATAATATGCAGGGACAGTAATTAATCCTTTTCTAAGCTCATTTTGAATTAAATTACGATATTCTTTGCTCTTCGTCGCTTTGAAAATGTATTAAAGGTAATTAATTCTTCAGTAAAACGATCAATTAATGGCATAATTATAGCCTGCAATATTTTAAACCTCAACACACGCTGGATATTAACAAACACGAGAGTAAAGGTGCTTAAACCAGCTCTAAACTTTGGCCGTATATTATTATGAAGATTATATGATTAGTTGGATATTATTAATGTTACACAGATCACCAAACCACTCTGGAGTCACAGCAAATTGTGGGTAACATAACCTGATTACATAATATATTGACCTCCTCCTCCTCGTCCGACCTTTGACATTTAACTTGACCTTGACCTTGACATTTTAACTCGTGACTCAGTTTTTACTTTTGGTCAGGTTGATTTTTTCCTCCAGATTAATGGTTGACTGAGAAGTGGATAATTTACTGAAAACAAAAAAACGTGAAAGCTTATCAAAGTTTGGGGATTCTTAAATAAATGACTTAAAAGTTGATTTTAATTGATTGTGTATAGAAATTCAAGTAAATAATTTCAGTAGAATCTCTGTACGTCGCTCTTTTATTTCCGTGAGCTATAATTTAGAAGCATGACACTAATAAAGGCATATTTCATCCCTTGTTTTACCTAGCGAAGACAAGTTATCCCACATCAACGCAGTATACATGTCAGGTCATATCACTCTGGCGCATTGATTCTATTAACAAAATGAGAAGTAGGTTAAGGAAGTTATTTCCGATAAACAAACTCACCCCGAAGACAGCCTTCATATGTTGTATTTAATGAATTTTTATTGTTATGAATATCAAGACACTGTGACACATGCGCTGATGTCTGAGACACTCAGTGTGTTGAAAGGAGCTTTGATGTTCGCCCTTAATATGAGTAATCTTTGATCAGCCAAAGTTTTCAGCGGAGGTAATTACCTTCAAAGCCAACATTAATTAGTTTTGCAGCATTAACGTAGCCCAGCAAGTTCCACTCACTTCTTATTAAATATGACCTTAGGAAAACCAGCGCTTGAGTTATTAATAATGGTAGATATGGGATCGGTAGGTGTGTGTGTGTGTGGTATTGTATATGTGCTTTCCTATAAATCATTGTTATCAGTAATACTTGTATAACCAGAATCTCAGCCAAGAAGTATGACATATTTTATATTACTTGGTGGACGTAGGGTAACAATTAAGGAGGGTATGATCTTCCCTGGCAAGTGTGTAGTATTTCTCTGGAGTGAAGGTCTCAGTACTTGTCTTATGATATGTACTGTACACCCTGAACGTATACCTGAGGAAAGCTGGTAGGAAGCCTGTCTGTTTTGTTAATCTTCTAAACGAGAGTAGACGTAACATATTAAATAGATTCCTTTGTTTACTATGAGTGTCACTATCATTTTGTCTTAATAACGAACATCGACACACACACACACACACCATCAGCACGGACACTACTCCAG